CAGCCTCTCGTACTGATCTGAGAGTAACCTCTCGTACTGATCTGAGAGTAACCTCTCGTACTGATCTGAGAGCAGCCTCTCGTACTGATCTGAGAATAACCTCTCGTACTGATCTGAGAGCAGCCTCCCATACTGATCTGAGAGTAACCTCTCATACTGATCTGAGAGTTACCTCTCATACTGATCTGAGTGTAACCTCTCATACTGATCTGAGTGTAACCTCTCATACTGATCTGAGAGTAACCTCTCATACTGATCTGAGAGTAACCTCTCATACTGATCAGAGAGCAGCCTCTCCACCGAGATGATAAACGCAATGAGTTTTATACAGCACACTCACACAGGAAAGCTCATTCTGAGTTTCCATATTAGGAGGTGTTTTTCTCCCCACCACCATTTCTTTGTGATTGACCACGTTCTTCATAAGAAGCAGTTTCACCTTGCATACAGACGAGAAGACGTGTATAAATAAAAGGTGTGAAACGAGCTGGAAATTCTGCTGTTGTAGCATTGATATCAAAAAGTCAGATAATACGCTCGCAATTGGTCTTTCATACTGTGGCTGGGTGAAAGGCATTTTTCAAAGCCAGCTGGTCACCATCTTATACACTTTTAAAGAGGTAAATGCTAAAATTCTCCCTCACAACACTTCAAGGACAGGTGAAGCAGCCATTTTCCATTCCTGATAGGTGTTTGCTTGAAGCAAAGAAGAGCAGTTAATCAAACAGTTTCTCGCACTCCCTTCTTCAAGCAGCAGAGAGAAACTTTATTTAAACACCCCGTGACGTGCCCCTTGACGAGCTGGGGGTCCTCTCACACTCTGCTCTAAGCATCTGGCTGCTTCTGCGACACAGCTCTGTCCCTAAAGGGCCCTTTTAAAGGATAAAAGCCAAGTAACTTTCCATTACAGCGTGGTCAAAGCCATCATCTCCCAACGAATGCGTCAAGGGTCCGGGACATCCGGTTAGTGGGTTAGAGAGGGGAGACAGGCCGCCTGCCGTGGAACGATGGAGCCTTTCCAGACTTCTAATCGCCCCTCTCGTGTCCCAGGAGGAGAGACGTGCTGACCATCACCCCCTGGCTGGCCCCCATCGTCTGGGAAGGGACCTTTGACCCCTTGATCGTCGACGGCCTCTACAAGCCCCTCGATCTGACCATCGCGACCACTGTCTTCGCGGTCGGCAAGTAAGACGTTTGTATCGCCACCAGCCTTTCTCTTGTATAATAATAATAATAATAATTGCTTACACTTCTATAGCGCTTTTCTGGACACTCCACTCAAAGCGCTTTACAGGTCAGGGGGAATCCCACTACCGCCACCAGTGTGCAGCCCCCACCTGGATGATG